AGGGAGTCTGCTTCTCCCTCTGACCCTCCTCCCTCTCATGCTCTCTGTTTCTCATTCTCTCTCTCTCAAATAAATAAATAAAATCTTTAAAAAAAGAAAAAAAAAATCAGGCTGAGCAGTTTAAACTGGATGCTTCAGGAGAAGGGGAGGCAGGACACGTTTTGGAGCACGGGGGAGACCTGCTACAATTTGTGCCTGATGGGAAATTGTCTGGGAGGGGCTGCGACAGGAAGAAGGGGCTTCTCTCCAGCATGGCTTGACCCAGCCACCTACCTGTTCCCTGGCTCCCTCGCAGGGGTGGGCACGGGAGGGGCCTTTGCTTTGGGCCCAGCAACCTGCTTCAGCGGACAGAACCAGTGCTGTGATTCCTGCCTCCCGCCCCCCCTCCACCCCCGAACCAAGCCTCCCTCCCTGGGGCTGCTGATGGGCAAGAGTCTCACCGTGGACACAGCTGCTGGCACGGGGTCGATGACCAGCCACCTCTCGGTTGTGGTCTCTAGCTGCTGGGCCGTCAGGGGCTCCCGAATTCGGACCATCACCTCCAGCCGCCCCCCCGTGGGCCTGCGACCATCCAGGACCTGCGTGCAAATGAGGGGAGGCTCTGGAGAAGCGGCTGGAGGCCCCGGGTCGGGATCAGGGGGAACTAGGGCGATTTCCAAAATATGAGCCCCTGGGTAGGGCTGAGATACCAACTGGTCAAAATGGAGCAGGGTGCTGGGAATATTTAGGGCTGGGCAGTAGGAAGGTCTGGAACTCCACCACCACCACCCCCCCCGGCCAGGGGAGGGTCTGGGTCAGCAGAGGAGACTCTTGGGAGGCCCAGGGCCTGTAGGAAGCATTTGAGTCATGTTAACAAATGACGGAGCCACACTGGAGCCTTCGGACAAATGCCCACATCTCACCTCAAGGATCTCCCGGACCTCGCACGCTGTCTCCAGGGCATCCAGCTTGAGCTGCGCTGTGCCCAGCACCCGGTCAGTCTTGAACAGCCCCCTGCGTGTGTGAAGGGGACAGGATGGTTGGCCCAGGACAGCTCCCCCTCCCCCAGAGTCCACCCAGCACCCCCAGCTCACCCCTTGTGGACCACTTCAAATTTGATGCCTTTGGTCTGGATGGCCCTTCGGAAGCCCCGGTGGCTGCGATTGATGCAGAGTTTGAACTGCTCCTTGAACTCTACTCAGGGAATGAGGACGGGGCGGATGAAGAGGAAAGAGGGAGGGGTCAGGCTATGGTCTCATGTTCTCGCCGCATGGGGCTGGGGTGCCTCCCGCCTCCGCTCAGCCTCCGCTCAGCTCACCGGGGGAGTCTGTGTTCTTAATCACACTGGTCTTGTCTTTCTGAGCTTCTTCCTGCAGCCAAATAGGAGGCAGGGAAGCTTAGGGGCTGGGGCCTCCCCTGGCCCCCTGCCCACCCATTCCCAGCCCGATGAGGCTTGAGCCCATCCCTCCTTGGCTTTCAACATACCACATTGGGATAGGGGAAGTCAAACCGAACAAAGACATCCAGGTCACTGGGAGACAGCCCTGTGGGCAGACAAGGGTCAGAGCTGGGCAGAGGGGCAGTCCCTCAGCCCTGACCCCAGCCTGCCGCCCCTCACCTGGGGGCGTGGGCAAGTTGATCCCCTTCACGATGAACAGGAGCATGTCGTTGCTGCTGAGGTCGGGGAAGATCCTTCAGGGAGGGCAGGTGGGGAGACAGAGGCACATGAGCCCCAACGCCTGCCGGCCTTCTCTTCCCTCCGCGGGGCCAGGGAACAAACCCCCTGCTGGCCTTTGCGGGTGTATCAGCTCCTGGGCTGATTTAGAATCAGACAGACCGGGAGTTCTTGGTCCAGTTCTGCCAATGGCTTATTTTTGAGACCTTTCTTCAGTCTGCACAGATCTATCTGGGACCCACTCTGTGCCAGCCGGTGGCCTCAGGGCCGGGGGAGCTTTCATTCATTTAGCATTTCGGGGGTCCCTAATATTCATCATCCAGTGCCCCAGCTGCTATGGGGTCTTCTTTATTCGCTTCATCTGACATTTCTTGAGCTACCATGTACCAGCCAGTGAGTGCCCTAGCTGCCAGGGGACCTTCCCTTCATTTAGCAATATTTCTGGAGCCCCTACTATGTGTCTGTCGGTGTCCTCGCTGCTGGGGATATGGAAGTAAGTGAGACGGACCCCATCCCTGGGTTCACGGGGCCCAAGCTAGCTGAGTGAACACAGGACCAATGAATATATAAATAGAGAAACAAAGCAATCCTGCAGAGAATTAAAATAGGGGAGAGAGTGGAGTGTGCTCAGGAAGGGCTGCTGTAGACAGAGTGGTCAAGGAGGGCGGGGAGGAGACATCACAGGTGATTCTGGATCCTGGGCAGGTGCTGCTACATGGAGACCTGGGGAAGCGGGTCTAGGCAGAGGAAACAGCCGGTGCAAAGGCCCCGAGTAGGAACACGGTTGGTCCGTCTGGGGACCAAAAAGAGGCCTGTGTGGCAGGAGGCGAGCAAAATGGGGACAGTGGATGGAGGCGAGGTGGTGGGGAGCCGGGGTGAGGGGTGTGGCTTGTCCTAGGTTATTGCAGTGGCTGCACCTAACCTCATCTATAAATGGGAAAAATGACCCCAATTCCCCCAGGTGTGGGAAGGCTTGAGAGGAGCAGGACCAACAACAACCATCCCGAGGGCTCGCCCAGGCCTTGGGACAAGGCACATCTCTGCACTCACTAGATCTTCCCCAGTTCCCAATGTGTCACTGTCAACACCCCATCACCATCCTTCACTTGCACCTCACAGCTGCCTCAGGACCCTTGCATATACCGTGCTTTCACCACCCAACCAAACTCTCCCCCAGAGGCAAGTCTTCTGCTGGTGTCTGGGGAGTGCAAACCCCTCTCCAAAGGGGCATTTGGGCCAAGGGGCATCAGGGCCTTACTTGATGACGCTGAAGGTTCTCTGCTCAAAGCGGGCAGTGGGCGTGGGGAGACCCCGGGCAAATGCCTGCTTCAGAATCTCCATGCTCCGCTTACAGTCCTCTGCCAGCTTCTCAAACCTGCCACCGAGAGAGCCCTGCTCAGGTCCCTAGTCCCAGGGGTGGGGCTGGGGGTGCAAATGTCTGGCAGAGGTGGGGACAGGGGCACTTACTTGCTGGTTTCGGCAATGTTGCCCAGGTGGGTGAACTGGTTAGAGTGGTTCAGGCACATCTGAAGAGCAGGAGACCATGAGGGGAGGGCTGGGGGGCCATGACCCTGGGGGAGGCCCGCTGAGCCGGGCTGGGGGCCCGCCTCACCTCGTGCTGCTGTCTTATGAGCTTGGTGAGTTCACCGTAGCGCCGGGCAGACTCCTGAGACAGACCTGGGCCGGGCCGCTGGACCAGAGAGAAGTCGTCCTTGTTGACAGGGGCGGGTGGCACCTGAGGAAGACAAGGATCATGGGGAGGGGACTGGTCAGCAACGAACAGGCCCAGCCATGGAAATGTCAACCATCCCTGGAGAAGACTTCCTGGACCACTGTTTTGCCTCTGCCCTGGTCTTTCTTCTTCTCCAAGGTGACAAGCGGTGCAAAGAGAAAAGTGGACGGTCCTTCCCAAAGTGGCAGCCTCTGTTAACTGTTTCCCCCAAATGGGATCCTTACCCTCTCTTCCCTAGTAATGGAGTTCTAGCTAGGCACACGGCCAAGAGACTACATATCCCAGCATCCCTTGCAGCTGGGTATGCCACGTGACTCAGCCCCAGCCAGTGGAAGGTGAGCAGAAGTGATGGCACACCATGTCACTTCCTTTAAAGGAAACTGCTTGCCTCGCCCTTTCTTTCTCTCACCACTTCCCACGGACTGAATGACGACAGGGCATCAACCCACTCTGACCATGTGGACAAAGATGACCTCCTAGGGTGTGGCGGAGCAACAAGATGGAAGGAACCTGGGCCCTAGCAGGTTTTGTCTTTCAGAGCCCAGACTGCCCTGAGCATTACGTGCAAGAAATATGTCTGTCTTCTTTGAGCCACTGTCTTAGGGGGACCTATTTGTTATAGCAGCTTTGCCTGAACCCTAATATACTCCCAGGCTCATGGCTAAGTGGCCAGAGCCCCACGGGTGGGTGCCTGGGAAAGTCCAGCAGGCCTAGAGAGTTCACCTTGGTGATGTCCACAGGCAGCCCGTTGCGTGAGGCCTCCAGCATGGGCTCCAGCCCCTTGGCCTGGCGCAGGTGCATCTTGGCACCCTCTACGTCATTCTTCTGCTTGGCTCGCAGCGCGGCCTGCAGGAGCTGCTTCTTGCGGCCCTCCAGGAAGGCCAGCTGCTGCTGGGCTGTGGGTACCGAGGTGTCGACGGGTGCTGCCCAGCCCAGGGCCAAGCAATGGGCAGCCAGGGAGGGGAGGGCATACCTACCTCTGGTGGATGTGCCCTTGGGGGCTGTTTTGGCTGCTGGGGCAGAGCCTGACTGAGGTGCCCTTGAGGGTGGGGCCTTGGGCTGGGCCATGGGGGCCGCAGGGCTGGTGGGCTGCTGAGGGAGGGAGAGGAAGTCAGAGCTCTCCCAGTGCCTGCAGTGGTTCCACTCCCCAGAGGGTCAGGGCCTGATGCTGACAGCAGGGACCGTCTTAGTTGCCGTTTCCTCAGCACTGAACGCAACCTATGGTCCCGTTCTCGTTGAATCTTTGCAACAGCCCTGGGACACAGAGGCTGTCACCACATCCACTTTACAGATGAGGAGACAGGATCAGAGAGCAAAATGACCTGCCTGTGGCCACACAGCCGGGAAGAGGCAGGGCGGGGATAAGGCCAGTTCTTCCCCAGTGTCAGGATTTTGCTTTGCTGCCGCTCCCTGCCTCACCCCAAGACCCCAGCCCCTCACACCTTCTTAGGTTCCTCATCCTCTTCATCCTCTGGGCCTTCCTCCTGGTTGGCCAGCTTCATGGCAGTTTCCAGGACCCCCACCAGGCTCTGCTGGGTGGGCTCAGTGGCCTCCAGGCCCTGGATGGGGGGAAAGCCTGGGCGGCCAGTCAGGACCCAGTCAGGAGGGAGAGACCCATGCCATTATGGTGGAGAACGTGGGTTCCTCTCCCTCCTAAGGAGCCTCAGGGCTTTGGATATACTTTGAATCCAGGAAGGAGCTCCTGCTGCTTCTGTGTAGACACCAGATCATTCCAACCTCCCTCTTGCCTCTTGGTGCCTCTCACCTGACCCTGGGCCTTGACCCCCAGACTCCAACAAGCTAGCACTAGATGAGGTGGGGTATTGGGCCCAAGAGGTGGTCACAGGCCTGGGGGGATTCCCAGGGGACCAAGGTGCTAAGTGATAACTGCTCTCACGGGGGACACACAGGCAGCTCTGAGAACCCAGAGGAGACCCCCCAACCCCCTGGGAGGCTAAGTAGGTATGTGTAAAACTGAGAGCAGATGACTAGGAGAGAGTGAGTTGAACAGAGAAGAAATGGAGGGATCAGATGATGGTGGGCTGATGAATAGGTTCTCCCAATAAACCCCCTTGATTTTTAGTGTCTGCCCATTGCCAGGTATAAACCCTCCTACTGTGACCCAACTTTAAGCTACCAATCGTCTAACAAGTTTGCAGAATTCCCGAATGCGTAGCAAAGAGCGCCCTGGGCCTGTCCCATGCTCAGAGGCCAGAGGGCTAGGGGGAGGGGCAGTGCCTACCTGGGGGCACCGGCAGTTCAGCCACGTCTACTGCTCGGCCGGCCTTGTGGGCTCGGATGGCATCTTGGTATTGCTGCAGCGGACACAATATCAGGGTTCTGTGGGCCAGGTCTCCAGGGGCCGTCTCCCTGCCCACCGGGCCCCCACACACCTTGACGATGCGCTCATGCATGCGAGCCTTCCGCTGGTCCCCTTTGCTCTTGGCCTGGGCTGCAGCCACGTGGTATCGCCCCATCCGCTGCTCCAGTGCCTCCAGGAGAGTCCGCGGAGGTGGGGGAACCTCTGGGGCAGACGGGGGCGGCGGGAGGCAGAGGGGCCGGGTTAAGAGTCTTGGGAAGGAGAGAGACTGTCCTGCCCTGGCCTGCCCGTCACACAGGGTTCCAGGAGCCTACCTGGCGTGGAGGGCACCGTGGTGGGAGCTGGAGGCTGCAGTGGTGCTGACGGTGGGTCTGGGGGCAGCTGGTCTGAGGGCAGAGAGGTCCAGTCCAATGAGAGGCTTGCTTGGGCACCCCCTCCCCCACCCCGGGCTCATGTGGCCTGAGGGGGTTCCTAGGTGACCAGTGAGGGTGGCAGCATCAAGTCCTGAAGGGTGACCAGGGTAGGGTTCTCACCAGGGGGAGGTGGCAGGTGGGACAGGTCCACAGGCTCCCCCCGGCTCAGGGCCTCCAAGACGGCATCGAAGCTCTGACAGAAAGAAGGAGATCAGGGGAGGAGGCTGCAGCTGGGGGCCAGGACCCTGTGGGGAGCCTCTGTGCCCCACCATTTGACAGAGGACCCCCAGCTCTACCCATTCCTCTGCACCATCTTGCTTTAAGCCCCTTCCAATATTTATGCCCATTTCACAGACAGGGTAAACTGGGGCTTTAAGAGGTACAGCAAACTACAGCTAGGGAGTGACTGAGAGCAAGGATTTAAATGTGGGCCTGTGTGACTGCAGAGCTCCTGCTCTTGGCCACCATGCAAAGCCGGGAGCATCCTGTCTTTGCTCTCCGACCCCGTCCGCCCGTCTGCACGCACCTTGGCCACACGGAAGTGTCTGGTGGCAACAGCGGTATCTCCCTGCTGCTTGGCGTGGAGGGCAGCCAGCTTATACTCACGCTGGCGGCTCTGCAACTGGGCCAGGGGGCCGGGGCTACAGGCACCTGGAAGGGGGAACAGCGCATGAACCATTTCTTTTTTTGAAGATTTCGTGTATTTATTTTGGAGAGAAAGAGAGAGAGCAGAGGGTCAGAGGGAGCCCCTCAACGTGGGGCTTAAACTCATGACCCTGAGATCAAGAGTCTTGTGCTCTATGGACTGAGCCGGCCAGGCACCCCCTCATTTATTTCTTTTCAATTGTGGCAAAATACACATGAAATTCACCATCTTTTTTTTTTTTTTTTTTTTAAGATTTTATTTGGGAGAGGGAGAAGCAGCCTCCCCACCGAGCAGAGAGCCAGATGTGGGGCTTGATCCCAGGACCCTGGGATCATGACTTGAGCTGAAGGCAGATGCTTAACAGACTGAGCCACCCAGGCGCCCCTGAAATTCTCCATCTTAACCCTTTCTAAGTATACAGTTCAGTAGCATTCAGTTGACCCTTGAACAATGTGGGGGTTAAGGGTGCCAACAGCCCTCCCACCACACAGCTGAAAATCTAGTTTGACTCCCCCGAAACTTCACTATTATAGCTTACTATTGACTGGAAGCATTATCAATGATAAAGGCAGTCGATCTATACATTTCATATGTTACGTACATTATATACCATGTTCTTATAATAAAGTAAGCTAAAGAAAATGATACTAGAAAAGCCACAATGAGGAGAAATACAGTGTTGTACTGTGTTAATCAAAGAAATAGTGACCCGCTCAGTTCAAAGCTGAGTTGTTCAAGGGTCAACTGTAAATGTGGGTGCTTGAAAGTCTTTTCTTGACCACCCTACTGTACACTTGTAACCAAAATCTCTCCCTGCAGTGCATTGGCAAAGTGAAGAAACAAAGAGTTAAGCTTCTTTTTGGTGTGTTCATTACAGGATCAAATAATACAGTTCAATAGGTTTTCAGAAGAAGTATCTCTAAACAGAAAGCAATCCGTGCAATTTTTGGTATAAAAAAACAAAGTGTAATAGATACACCATCCAGGGTCCACAAATCCTAGAAACGCCTGGAAAGCCGCATGCGTTGTACTTTCTCAGACTGACAACTGCACTTACAGCTTTAAGTTTAGGTGTAGTTGCCTGAAAAGCTGTCCGTAGGTTGAAGCTAAACACCTTGACTTTTGCCTGGTTTTATGTCCTATCATTGCAAGTCTCTGAGTTAAGAAAATGCTTTTCCAGGTTGAATCATGGGTATTTTTAGGACGCAACTGAGCAAAGCCTAAATACATCAAGCTTCTGGATGAAGAATTTTTATATACCAAGAGTAAAATTTTATGAGCAAGGTACCTCTTGCCTGACATGGTTGGGGCTGGGTCCACCCTCTACCAATTAACTCCTGTTTCCTGGTTTATTCTTTCCCAACTTCCCTGTTTTCTTTTTTTAAAGCATAAAGAAACCTGCTTCATATCAACAAACAGATGGCAAGAGGCGAAGTCTTGTCATCACCCTGTCGGGGGATCCCCTGAACCCCTGCCAACCTATGTGCCAAAACCCCGTGGTGAGAAACGTTTTGGTGATTTCGGTGGAGAAGTTCAGGTGGTGATTTCCAACAATCCTCCTTGACCTTTGCCAAAACAACAGCTTAGAAACCAGTCTGGCTGTGGAAAGATTTAGACCTGCTGTTTACTTTCTCAACAGGGCCAGCCCAGTTTTAAGTGTCTCTTTGGTTCGCTTGGGGAGTGTCTGCCTCTGGGGCAGAGCCTGTGTTGATATTCTAGAAGGGGGGGGGGGCATTCCTTTCCCATAGTGGGAGGAGGGCCACCCGAGAAGGAAAACCTCTTGGGAGGTTGGAAAACCTCCAGCAGGTGAGTTTTAGGAGAGAAGACAGACAAGCTGAGGGCTTGGAAATTATCCACTTACAACTCTCTGCGTGAGAACGGTAGCCCTCAAAAGGAGCGGAACTCTGACGCATGCTGCAGTATTACACAAGTGAAAGAAGCTGGACCCAAAAGGACAACTAGTGTGTGGTTCTACTTACACGAAATATCTAGGAGAGGCAAAGTCACAGACAGAGAGCGAATGGTGGGGGCCAGGGGCTGGGGGGAGGGAGAATGGGGGAGTTAGTGTTTCATGGGGACAGAGTTGTTGTTTGCGGTAATGAAAAATCTTTGGAAAAAGATAGGGGTGGTGGTTACACCACACTGTGTGAATGTGCTACACACCACTCAGTTAACTGCACACTAAAAAATGGTTACAACGGCCAATGTTATGTTATATATATTATACCACCACACACACACAAAAGGTATCCATGAACTCCAGAGGCATGAGGACCTAGGAAGAGGAGGGGTGTTAAGAATATCTAACAACTGGGGAGCCTGGGTGGCTCAGTTGGTTGGTTAAGCGTTCGGTTCCTGATTTCAGCTCAGGTCATGATCTCCGGGCTGTGGGATGGAGCTCTGCCTTGGGCTCTGTGCTCAGTGCAGAGTTGGGATTCTCTCTCTCCCTCTGCCCCTCCCCACCGTTTGCTCACGCTCAATGAATGAATGAATGAATGAATGAATGAATATCTAATGAATGAATGAGTCAGCACCCCCACAAAATGGCCAACTGCTGAATACCACCCCCGCAAATCCCATGTCAGTCCAGCCTTGCCCTTGGCCTACCTGGAGGAAGCTGGGGCTTAGCCAAGCCTATGGATGTGGCTGGAGCCGTGGAAGGAGGGCCTTCTACCGTGACCCTGGGCTCTGGGACTGGCTGGTTTGCAGAGGCCGGCGGCGCGGGCGCCGGAGAGTGGCTGGGCGTGGCTGCCGGGCCCTTCCCCACTGCCACAGGTGGCGGGATGTCCCCTTCATTGATGGCGTTACCCTTCTGGACGGAGGCCAGCAGGTTTTCGAGTGTCTGAGAGAAGGTGTGAAAGTGGGTTTTAGAGGAGCCTGGAGCTGGGTGCAGTGGGCTGTGGTAGGGTCCCAGCACCCTCCCATCACCTGCCCGCTCACCTTAAGCCCCCGGTCATAGCGCCGCATCTTGGCACCATCTCCAGCTTGCCTAGCGCTTTCGATCGCTGTCTGGTAGAGGGCCAGCCTCTCCTGCAAGGTGGCCTCCACCCCTGGGCTGGGGGCTGTGGCCTTCGGCTGCAGGAGGGACCGGGGCATGGTCTGGGTGGGACCCCACCTGAGTTCTCCCCAAGAGCTCCCTTGCCAAGTGCCTCCCACACACCAGGCATGTTGCCCCTGGGCCAGCTGTCCCACCCCACCCCCCGGCCAGGAGGAAATCATCATCCCCCTCCGGTCTCAGAGGTGTCATGTCACCTGCCCAAGGTAACATGGCCGAGGGGCCAGGGAAGGCCTCCAACTCTGGGCTATGCGGAGCGGGTTGCTGGGCTATACCTGAGCCACAGGAGGGTGGGACTCCACAGTCTTCTGTGCCTCCCCAAGGACCTCGTTCAGCTCTGCCTGCAGGGGCAGACGGCCGGGGGCCGAGCATGAGGGCCCGCTGGATGGCGCAATGACAGCGCGGGAGGCCCCCTGCCTTGCCCCGGGTGCTCACCAGCAGGTCATCATCAGCCTCCACATCCTCCTCGTCCGTACCCTCATCCTCACCCTCATCCGGGTCTCTCATGCACAGGCTGGCCATCTTGTCAATAGCCTCCATGGGCAGGGGGCCTGGCGGCAGGTAGAGGCCCCAGCTGGACTGGGATCCTTCAAGAGTCCCCAGCCTCCCATCCCGGTTACCCATGACCCCAAGGACTAGGGCAGCATGTCCCCCTCCCGGCCCTTCCATGGCACCCCACGGCCCTCAGGCCCACCAGGTATGATCCCGATCCCCGCAGATCTCGCCCGCCTCGTCTCTCCCTTATCAAGCCCGATTCGGCACCCTGGCTTCGCAGCTTTCTCACTTTGGAGCCCTGGGCAAGTCACTTGCCCTCTCTGGGACTCAGTCTTCCCATCTATCGGACGAGGACAAGTTTCTCTCTCACAGGTCAGTTGTGGGAACTAAAGATAAATGAAGCTCCAGAACAGCATGTGGTCAGCAGTTTGTTATTTGAGTTAATCCTCATTATGCGCGTTAGTTCTGTTCTATAAAACTGCCTTAAATGCTGACTTAGGGAACACTGGACCACGGCCCCTGGAGGAAATACAAGGTTCGGGTCCCATGAGCCTCTGGGCACAACATTTTTGTCAACCAGTCAATACATAACCTTGCTTAATGTGTGTTTCTATCTAATGACACCTTTTTAAGTATATATTGTTGATTTGTGAACCCCGAACTCAAGGCCAAGAGCAGCACTGTAACTCACGTCTGAACGAAGCTCATCTGTTATGTCTCTTCTCCATAAGACACATCACAGCCTTCTTGCTCTTAGAGACACGAGACAGCACTAAGCCCTACACCTGGGGGCCGTTTTGAAGGTAAAATCACCAACAAAAAGCACCAAAATGAGAGAAAATGCAGCCTTACACAGACCGGGGAAAGGACACTTGTTTACAGCATGCCCCGGGACAAGAGCGACTCCAACTTCCGGCAGCTCTGTGCATGCCTGCCAATAATTGCAAAAGCTCCCCAAGTATTGATTTGGGTGTTCCAAATAAAGTTTAGCCCGTAGGGGAATTCACAAATATGGAATTCATCAATAATGAGGGTTGACTGAATCAGCAGAAAAGTATAAAGGTTCCGTTTGCCCTCAGAGCTCCAGCCCCACTGCCCACTACAGAGTTGCTGCCCCCTGCCACCTCCCCTAGGGGGCTTTTGCAGGTGCTGGGGCCTCTCCCAAAAGTGCTTCCCAGCTCTTCACCTGGCCCTCCTTACTGTGGGTGCCTCTTGCGGGCATCTGGCCCCAGCTCACAGGTCTCTCCCATCGCTCTGTGCTTCCCTCATCCCAGCCCTCATCACGGGGACTGCAAGCTGGAGGAAATGCTAGACCCTGTGTGAAGTGCTTTATGAACAGTAGAAGAGTAACTCCTGTGATTAAGTGCAGTCATTATTCCCATTTTACAGATGGGGAAACTGAGGCCCACAGAGATGCTGGGACTCATCAAGTCACACAGCCAGTAAGTGGCAGAGCTGGGATTCGAACCCTCACCCTGGGTCCAGAGTTGATCACTTAACCTTTTACCCAGGCTGTGGGTTCCAGGAGGGCAAAGACCTTCTCTGTCTCCTCTCCTCCTTCTCCCCAGGACCCAGCGCTGAGCCCTGCCCACAGCAGGAGCTCAGAAAATGTTCAGGGGTGTGTTGAGAGTCTCACCTTTGCCTTTGAGCTTCTCCAGGACTTGGGGCTGGCCCCCAACCAAGGCCAAGAACTCGGCCTCCAGTTCCTCATCGTTAACTCCATCTTCAGGGATCATCAGGCCGTCTGGGGAGAGGTCAACCAGCAGGCCCAGCTGAGGGAAGAGCAAGGGTCCAGTCAGACCTCGGAATGCACCCCACCTGGCCAGAAGGCAGCCAGGATGGACCCAGAGTTCCCTCAGGAGGAAGGAAACCCAGACCTCCTGGGGAAAGTCATTTTCCCTGGGGAGTGCCAGGAGGCTGGAACGGGCTCAGAATGCAACAGGTGTCCCAAGATGGGCCAGGCCCTCTGGCACAGATCAACACGGGGCGAAGGGCAGGCAGAGACCCTGCTCCCTGCTCTGAGCCCACGCCCATGATGTGCTGCTGACCAAGTTCCGTGGGAAAAGCAGGCCCTACACCCTGCCCAAAGCAAAGTCACTCTGCACACCTGGGCTTTTCCTTCCAGCATACTCAGCAGAGGGGGCCAGGCAGGAAGGTTGCAAGAGCAAACAGAAGCCCGGAAAACAACACAGAAGTTGAAAGCGGGGTTTTCATTGTGTAACAGACCTGTCTTCCTATCCCCTCCTAGTTCATGACCGATCATGATGTGATAATATTATGTTGAACTATACAAAATTGCCTTTTCTGTGGGTCAAAATGGGCAATTATGTATGGCTCCTTTTAATAGTAATAATGAAGTTACACTTATTGAGGGCTATGTTCTAGCACTTTCCATAAACTATCTCAATGAATTTTCACAACTGTCCTGTAACATAGGAACTGTTAGGGCCTCCATTTTACAGATGAGGAATCTGAGGCGTAAGAGCTGAGAAGCCGAGTGTCCAACGTACAGAGACCAGCAGGGAACTCCAGGCTGGCCAGACTCTAAAACCCCGGCACTAAGCTATGGCCTGGGCTTCTTCCATCAAAGCTGAGAAAATCAACTCTCCAGGTGCCTGGGGCAGAGGAGATGGAGAAGGAAAGGAGGTCCAGACACAGTCCCATGGGCTCATGGCAGCAGCTCTGGATTTGCACTTCACTCTGGCCAAGCCGTTAATCCCTATGACCTTGGGAAGCTGTCTTCACCTCTCTGGGCCTCAGTGTCCTCATCTGTACAGTGGGGATAAAAAGAGTCTGACTTGGCCTGGCAGACGCGAGGTTCCGTGCGTGTTCAGGCCAGGAGTGCAGTAACTATCCTTATCCCAGGTCCGAGGCCTTCCCCTCCCAAACTGGAGAGGCTGCGGCAACAGGTGGCCCTGAGCCCATGGCGGGGCGCCAAGAGCTGAGGAGCTGGGGAGCAGGGGCCAGCAGGCCGCACTTTGGGGGCAGAACCTCATCTGGAGGGCGGGGACAGGGGCTCACTTGGGGGTGGTGATCGGGTTCCCCTGGGGGGTGGGGCCCTCCCCTGAACCTGTGATAGGGGTGAGTAGGGTTCCCTAGGCAAGGCCGTGGGGTACAGACTCACCTGGCGGGCGGCGGCGGCACCTCGGCCTGGGGGTCCCGGGGGTCCCTTCCTCTTGTGCATCTTCCAGGCTGGATGCCCGGGCCACTGGCCACCTCGCCTGGCCTTGCCCTGCCTCCTCCCCCGGGGCCTATCGCCGCGCACGCGCACTTCCTGAGCCCCGCGCCCCTCGCTGGTGCCCTGCGACCGCTGACCCCGCGCCCTCGACCCCCGGAGTGGCCGTCTCACTTCCGCCTCGGCTCTGGGGCGCCGCGGCACCGGAGCGCAGCCACTGGACTTGCTGGGCCCGCCGCACTGAAACTACAACTCCCGGCAGGCAATACGCGGCACGCGTGCGTACTGCGGGGCGGTGGGCGGGGCCGCGGGCTGCGCGGGGAAAGAGGCGGGGCGTGCGTGGATGTGGGGGCGGTGCTAGCGTCGCGCATGCGCGCGACGGTGCGGCGGGTTGCGCGGGAAAGAGGCGGAGCGCGCGCGCAGGTGTGAGGGGCGGTGGCGGCCGCCGGGCTTTCGGCGTCCCGTGGCTACCTGCGGGCTCTGGCTTCCCCTGGCGGCCCTGGTCTGGGTATCCCACACTTTTCGGGGCCCGGGGTGGGGTTAGTGTGGGTCTGGTCAGCGGAAGTCGGGTCCACAGCGCTCGGGCTTCGGGACCTACCCGCCCTTCAGCTACAGACTGCCAGCCGCCCCGCCTCCGTGAGGGCCAACTTTGCCTTTTATTTTCCAAAAAAATCCTAACGCAAATAATTAACCGAATTGTTCCCCAACAGATCCAGGCAGACCTACTCAGTTCCTGATAAGGACAGAGGGACCTTGGCAACTTCAGTGGCCCAGGTCGGTTTGGGCTTGTTTGGCCCCCAGGGCTGGCAGGAGCTGGTCTGTGGCGACTCCTGCTTCCAGGCCCCAGGCATCCCCCACAGGACTTCCTGACCCTTCGAAGGGCCCCAGGTGGCTCCTTCCAGAATCCTCAGGTGTCCCTGGAAGGGTCTCAGACCACAGCCAGGGGGGAGGGGGCTTCACATAGCCTGTCTCAATTTAGGGACTAGAGCTGGGGTCGTCAGGGCTTCCGTGGATGGGCAGATGGGTCGTTCCCTCCGCTCTCTGCAACGTGGAGGAGGTTTTCTTACCCGGTCATGGCCCAAGGTGGCTGTGACTCCATCCAGCTTGGCCCCCGGGGGCAGCCAGATGGACTGAGGTGGGGTGAGGGTGGCTTCTGCCCTCAGCCAGGGTCACTGGGTCTGTCCCCAGGGACAGGGACTACTTGTAATGATGGGATTTTGCTCGTTGTTTTCAGATTTTTCAAGAGAGGGATAAAATGAGTAAGAGGAAGAAGCTTCGGACTTCAGGTATTTGGACATTCGAGTTGACACTGCTTTATTGCTGCTTCTGGTATAAGAGGAATGTAGGCTTATTTGTTGCAGAAATGCTAACATGATCACTTCAAGCTCCTTGAAAAAAAAAAAGTGATTTAATACATGCTAGTAAGAAAAGTATAAGTTGTGGAAAGTGCATACAGTAAAAAGTGAAAGCTTTCTGGAGCTTCCTCCAGTCTCTGGTGGGATCCCACGGTTAGGCCAGGGGTGCACTCTCAGAGATGACCTTTGAATAGAGCTACAAGGTCATTGGGTGTGTGGCTAAGTGTTCCACTCTGGAACCAAAACCCTGGATTCATCCCAGCTCTCAGGCTCCCTGTGTGATTGTAGATGACTTACTCTGTACCTCAGAGTACTATAAATAGAGGATAATAAAAGCACCTACCCTTTCCATTCAAACAGTGATTCTCAACCTGGTTGGGGGGAGGATTTTTGCCCCTCAGGACACTGGACATGTCTAGAGACATTTTTGGTTTCTACAACTGATGTGTGTGGGGGGGGGGGGACGCTGGTTACTGGCATTTAGTGGGTTGAGGCCAGGGATGTGCTAAATCCTACAGTGCACAAGACAGTGCCCACAATACAGAATGATCTGGCCCCAAATGTCAGGAGTACCAAGGTGGAGAACTCTGCCCTAGAGTTCATACGAGGACTAATATTTGTAAAGCATGAAGGATAGACCCTAGGTAGTACACAAGTGTATGCTGGTATTAGGATTCTCCTTCCAGACTTAAAAAAAAAAACAAAAAACAACACAAAAACCTTTTCATTCTGAAATAATTTGGGGCTTACAGAAAACTTGCAAAAATAGTTCAGAGTTCTTTCTACCCTACCTCCAGCTTCCCCTAAGGTTAATGTCCAGCACAACCATGGGACAATGATCAATCACAGGACAGCATAAAAAGCCAGGGAATGAACCTCAGTACACTACTTCCAAACTTTTTCTATGTATACACAAATACAGTGTTTTTTACTGGAAAATAGAGTCATCACACATGCTGATCTGCAATCCCCATTTCTTACTTTATCACGAGCGTCTTTACTTGTCAATACATATATGTATAATTTCCTCATGCACGAAGAAAAACACGCAATATTACATAGCTCCATTTCCCTGTTATTGTCGAAGATAATTTAAACTTCTTAAAAGTTTAGAAATGACTACTTACTGGATAATGAGCATAGGGAGTAGCACTCATTTTTTTTTCCCCACAATGTGGTATAGAAAAATTAGCAATGGATTGAAAATGTTTTGTGTAAGATGAGCAACAGGCTGCTCGGAAACACAGGAATTTCACTGACCTGGGTGGGGGAAGCTGGGGACAGCCAGGCCCACCCACAGCAGGTCATTTGGGGCCTCTCTTGGCAGTGGGCTCCCTAGCTCAGTGGATCCCAGGCTGGCCCAGGACAGCTGTTTGTGTGTCCTAGAGGGGGTGGGGACAGAGGAAGACGATTCTGGCAGGTGGTGAAAGAAGCCCTTCCCTCCCAACGTCTTTGGCCTTTGGTGTTGAACATAAGGTTCTGCCTTTAGTTTTTCTTAAATTAGTCCTGTGGGGACAGATCACAGGAAGGAAATGGGAGGCTTTTCACTTCTGTTGATATTTTGGTTTTTATTTGGTGCACATGTCCATTGGATGAGCAAAGCGAGCTAGTGTTTGGGCATCTTAAGAAACCAAATAAACAAAGCTGCTTGATTTCACCTTTTTTTTTTTTTTTGGCAGTCACAAGATGGGAATATGCTTGTGTAAGAAGCATTCATTGGAGCCTTGCTCTGAGTGCAGCACTGGGGTGAACACCTAAGCAGGGTGGGGTGAAAGGCAGGGCAAGGAGGAGATCAAAGGGTGCAACAGACTCAATTCCTGCCCTCATAACCCTCAGGGTCTAGTCAGGAGAGAAAGAAAAATGCTTCTCACTGAGAGTGCTAATCAAATACATAGCAGTACGGTAAAGTTCTAAATGGGCACACCATAACTTACAGAATTCAGAAATTACAGAAATGTCATGGTGGTTTACTGGAGCACAAACAGCTGAGTGAATGCTAATAAGAACCCTGGTGATCAGTATTAGGGAGAGGGAGCTTGTTCAACGGGTTTACTTCAAGGTGTGTAGGAGCTGAGGTTGGAAAGGGTCTACCTGACTGACCTCCAGAAAGATCAGGCCAGGGTCTGGTTTGCCTTTTTGTTCTCTCTGTGGGGTCAGAGGCACAGCACATAGTAGGTGCTCAGTAAAT